GAACATGTTTTGTTCTGCACAACCTGACCAGCCAGAGCTTTCAGCCATTCACAAGGCAACCTCGTGCATGCGTGGCACATTCAGAAGCACTGAATTCAGCAAGTTCCGTGTTAATAAATTTGCTAGTCTTTAAAGTGACCCCCCAAAACAAGATTCTGTTGTTTTTACTGCAGCCAATGAATGCAGATTGTCATCCATGTGCACTCAGAAGAGATTCCCAGGCACACACAGGAGATGGAGGGCTTTGGTGGGAATGGTGGCTCAGACTCGGAGGAGAGGGAGTGGAGAGCTGACCCAGCCATGGCTCATAGTTCTCACTCTGATATTGGAGTTGCGGAGACCAGCGAGGCCCCGGCTGCCCAGCCTGAGCCAGGTCTGGATCAAAACACTTCAAGGACAACCACTGAGCCCACCCTCCCTCCTGACTGTACGAAAGAACATGCTGGGAAGGGGTTCTTATGTGCTTCCTGCTATTTCATATGCACCATAATCCTTCAGATATATTTTGAATTGTGCCTGTCTAGTTGAAAATTATTATTCCACTTTCCCCAATACAGATTTGAGAATAACATGCCTCCTTCTGACTTTTGCATCTGTGCAAGACTGGCTGTTTCAGTGTACAGAAAAGCAGTGTACAGCCTTTAGTAATGCGTAATTATTTCTGTATTTATTGACCTCCCACCACATACATTTGCTCATGGTACACAGAACATTTTTTTAAAAGTAGCCAGTGGCCAATGGTACACATCTCAGTATCAACATGTATGTTACAAAACAAACACTTGCATTCCAAAATCGGCACTCAAAATGTAGCTTCAGGTGAAAAGAGCAATAAGGCAATATCTTTCAAAATTAAGACATAAGAAAGTCTGTAAGAAAGCAGAGTACTTCCAGAAGTCCCCACTGTGGGCTGTTTCGAAGCAGCAGAGCCCATGGGCGGCAAGTGCCAGGGGTCTCATCAGCATCTAGGGCAATAAGAGCAAATAGGAGGATACTAGTATCCATAAACAGTGAGAAAAAGGTAAAGGTTTCCCCTTGACATTAAGTCCAGTCATGCCTGACTCTAGGGGGCAGTGCTCATCTCCGTTTCCTGGCCGAGGGAGCATGTGGCTGGCATGACTAAACACCGAAATGCACGGAACGCTGTTACCTGCCCACCGAAGTGGTACCTTTTCATCTACTTGCATTTGCATGCTTTCGAAACGCAAGGTTGGCAGGAGCTGAGATGGAGCAATGGGAGCTCACCCCATTGTGCAGATTTGAACCGGCAACCTTTCAATCAACCAGCCCAGCAGCACAGCAGTTTAAACCACTGTGCCACCTGCAGTCCCAGACAGTGAGAAGAAGCATACAATTAGGAGACTCACAAGGATCAGGACCATGGACAGTTCATCTCCTGTCTCCAGCTTGCTGCATTTGTGTCCTTCACTCAAATGACAGGTCTTCCTCTGGCTAATGCCTTCTAGATATTTTGAACTACCCTGTCCCATAAATTGTGCCCCCATTGGCCATGAAGGATGAAGATAATGGGTCCAAAGCATCAGGTTGGGGAAAGAAGCTTTCCAGGCCCTGACTATCTATCCCAGGCTCCTCTAACCACAACAACTATCCATGGCTGAGCAGTGGAAATCCTTATGGGGAGTAGAGTGCTTGGTGTCCTTCTGTTCCTTCCTTTCTTTCTGGGTGTGTTTTCTGCACTGCTAAGTAGGCGTTGGGGAGCTGGACGTGGCTAATGCCTGGGGCTTGGTTACTTGAGGGAAGTGGCCAGCTAAGGAGAAGTTTTCTGTGAGGGTCCTGGTTGGGGATCTCAGCTTCTAGGCCTCCAGCCTCAAACTCAAGATGAGCATCTGACTCTCATTCCATTGCTAGGGATAAGAATGCAACAGAGTCCACCAGTCTGTCCCCGTGTTGTACTTGAGTCCAGGCCGCTGAGAATGTCCTTTTTCTCATGCTCATTTATGAAGTTATCTCCTCCTGGGTAATAGTGACCAATGCAGTGGCCTTTGTATCAAAACTGAGCTGTTAGGTATGTGTGAAGCTGCTTTATACTGTGTCACAGCATTGGCTCATTGGAAGAGTGATACTGAACCTTTTTCAACTGGAAGGTTTAATTCTATTTCAGAGCAGATTGGGATTGCTGGAGGGAGGTTGCAGGACTGAGTGCAAAAGGGACAGAATCAAAATACCCAAAGCACATCCATATAACTTAGCTTAAAGCTCTTTCTGCCAGGAAAGAAGCTTTAGGATTGGCATTTTGACTCTTTGGAATTCAGGGCACAAATGTACAAAAGCCAGGAAAAGACTACATGGTTGGCATCAGGGAAAGAAAGTGTGGGTGTTTGGGAAGCTGCGGAGAGCCAGATTGGCAGGGGAGGCAGGCGCCTGGCAAGCGTTCTAAGTGCTGTCCATGGTGCTGGACACCATTCCCAACATAAATAATGCCATAAATAGCTCCTGTAAAGCACAGAATGAAACCAGCAGTGGAGAAGGCTCAGGCTGACAATGAGTCTGAAGATGGGGATGCCAGAGGGGCTCTCTGGGGCCCCAGGCCTGCACCTCTGTGCCCTTGCTCTACTTTCCCTGACAGCGGTGATCCAAAAACTCAAGCAGGAGCTCTTCCCCAGAAATACAAGCCAGGATGTTTTGATCTGATGCTATTGTGGATTGTGCTCAAGACATTCTGCATGAAAAGCATGTGCTTCACTGCTCAGCTAGTGTCCTTTCTGGTGCACATTCATATTTTTATCTTTGAAATGTTAGAGGGCACAGGTTCATCTAGTAGCATGGCAGCAGAGCAAGACTCAAGGTACATCTTACAAACAGGCACAATATTAACACTCCTATATGCAAGTCATAAAAGGCCATTTTCCCTTAGATTCAAAACCTGCATAAAATTCCCCTTTAATTGTACTCGGAGTGTTTCAATTATCAAATGTCTCATTTGTAAGCTGCCAAGTAACCAAGTCTTGTACCTGTTCATTCTCTAGCATGTAGCAGAATCATAATGCAGTCTCAAACATCACAGCCATCTTTGTAAAATATGATGTTAAGGAAGGCTGAGTTCATTGTACTATACATATGTAAATGCCTCTCTTTCAGTGGCCCCAGGGGAGAGGAGAAGTCAGACACTATTCCCAAGCACAGCGTGTATTAATTGTAAGGCAATAAAGTGCACACACATGAACTCAGGAACTGTCAAGAAGCATTAAATAGTGAAAGTCAGGATATCATTAAGGAAGGCTGAAAACCCTGTTCAGATGATATATTTAAAATAAGCTGTGCTGGGAACAGCCTGAACTGAATTTCTTTTAAAACAGCAGAAGATATGCAATCCACCCCATTAAGCGGTTCATGGGTCACAAGGGCCAAATCCTGCACTAGTCATTGCTGCAACATTGATTTCACATTGCTGATGTGGCATTTAAATGCAGCCACCTTGAATGTATAACCAGTGTTATACATAGAGACCCAGTGCCAGGGTCTTGGTTCTAGTCCCCACTCAGCCATGGAGCCTTTGGGTGACTTTGGGCCAGTAACAGACCCTCAGCCCAACCTATATCCCAGGGTTGTTGCTGTGGGGATATGATAGAGAGCAGCAGAAAAATGGTGTAAGGTCTGTTGAGTTCTTTAAAAGAAAAAAGGCAGGATATAAATCTAATAAATAATTATGGCCCCCAGGATTCCCTCATCCATCCCTCTTTCAAGCCGTTGTACTTAGCACTGAAGTATTTGTCCATATCATGACAGACTGACAAGAACTCCTGGAGGATCCAAAAATGAAGACAGTGGTTCTGTTTCTCCTGATCTCTAGCAGGAGAGTTTTTTTGTAAGGCAAATGGGTCTTAACTGCCAACCCAAGACAGCTCCCCCAAAATACTAGTTCAGATAACATGACAAAGGTAGCATATAAGCTCAAGGAACCAAGGTTCAATTTGGATGCCTTGAAAGTACTTCCTGATGGTTAGGACCCCTAGGGTATGGAATGGGCTTCCACAGGAGGTGGTTGAGGCCCCATTGGTGAGGGTGTTCAAGGACAGGCTAGACATGTTCATGGTAGGCATGTCGTGAGTGGAGCCGGCTAGAGCTGAGGGTCAGACTAGATGGCCCAGGAGACCCCTTCTGACTCACTCTGTTTCTATGTTTCTATGTGTGTGAATGCACAGATGACCATTCAAAAATAACAATTACAGGTAAGCAAACTGCCTTTTTAAGAGCAAAGTACTCAACGTTTGGGATGTTTTAGTTTCTCTCACTTTTGAATTTTTTTAAACCTCAGGTTTGTCCCAAACATGGAGACATTTATGAAGTGTTGGTAAATTGTTATCACAACAGAAGTGGACAAAATTCCCATCTATCCCTATTGGAGACCTAATTGTGTGAGATTCCTAATTCACCAGACATGCATTCTTTTCCTATTTCACTGGGGCCCTTCACCCATTGCAAGTTTAATTTTGAGCTCTATAGGAGCTATACATGGTACTAAACTCCCTCTCTCTCCATTCAGCACTATGAAGAACTTTGGTGTCTTCTGCTGAACATGCATAGGTCAGAGCTAGCACCAGAAGGTATGACACCATCCACCAATCTTTAACCCACTCAGTGACCTTATTCTGAAGATGTAAATAAGGCTTTCTGTGTAGGTTGGGAATGGATTGTCTACAAAAAGTTATACAATTTTGTAGGATGTATGAATGTGTGCACTTGCATGCTGCATTACAGCAGGATCAGTAGACCTTGAAAACTGTCAAGATGTATGCTAAATATTTTATTAACAATCTCTCCATCCTAGCAGCTCTGCTAAATCAAGATTGTTGCTACAAGCTGGGCAGAAATTAGAACTGGATTTCTATTCCCCCCAGAAGCTTGCAGGTTATTAATTTTAGCGGGTAATAAACTCTGCAGCTGGTTTCAGACGAAGTAAGACCTTTAAAAAGAGGCATGCAACCTGTTCTTGCTTTGCATTTTTAACTCTCCCCCACTTTTCTTTCCTTTGTCCATAGGATTTTCTATTCTTCAGGCAATTATGGAAGCTGCTGTGCAAAATAATTGGCAAGTGACAGCCCGGTCTGTAGGAAGCATAAAGGATGTCCAGGAGTTTAAGGCCATCATTGAAGAAATGGATAAGCGGCAGGAGAAACGATACTTGATAGATTGTGAAGTGGAAAGAATAAACACCATTTTGGAGCAGGTATGCAGTGGGCACCATTTCTGTGATGGGTGTATTGTTGCACCTCTGTTTTAATACATGATACACCTTTGAGCCATCCAGCACAGAGCTGACAGCACCATTATTGTCCATTCAGAAGGAGCATCGTGTCCCTTCACTTCACTCTTGTGGTCCTGATCATGCCTGCCCGGCAGAGGGCATGGTGCTGGGACACTGGATGGGCTTGGAGCTTTTGTGGTTCTTGGAGCTTTGTGGCAGGTAGCAAGCCTGGGACTGGTTCCTGGAGCTCAGCATGAATTTTCTACAGGTGGGACTCTCTCAGGTCCAAAGAGAAAGACATTGGCACCAGACCTGCAGACCTTTTCATTCAAGTTCCACGTGCTTAGCAGCTTGAAACTCCACCCATCCTTCAGTTGCATGTCTTAGTATGTGCCAATATAGAATACAGATGGTTACAGCTTGGCTTACTCGTGTTCATTGTTCCAGCCAGCCAACCAGGTCTCCTTCTGTGATACTCTAATCCATCCCCCTCCACCAAACAGCAACTCAACATGACCCTCCATTCTGTATGCTTAGTCTTTAATGGACTGCATTGGCAGGGGTCCATCTCTTTCGTTTCTTCCCTGGACTGAAGAGACCTTATCTACATTCACATTCTTGTGGTTCATTGGACCATGGGGATGCTTGCCTCTTCTTTCTACAGAGCCCTCAGCATCCAGTACCAGTGTTTACAGATTCTATATATAGTTGTTACAAAGGGTTTCTGCATTCATATTTGGTTTAAAGCTGGGACTAGCAATTTGTAGAGCCATTTGTAGAGCTGGCTCTGTAACAGGAAACTCCCATGTAACAGGATTCCCATGTTTTATAACGTTTATTGATGAGAACCATTGAGGTGTTGAGATCAGAGTGTTGGACTGGGACTGGGGAGAGCTGGGTTCTAGTCCCCATTCGGTCATGAAGCTCTATGGGTTTATTTATCTAATGTTTTTGGTTTTTATACCATCCAATAGCTGAGGCTTTCTCAGGATAAAACAGGGAGGTGGAGAACCTGGTCAGCTACCTTGAGAGTCTTGCAAGGTGAAGGAAGTTGAGGTGTAAACGTAATGCAATAACAAGTAATGATTTTGAGTTCAACCTTATGCATGCTTAAATAGAGAGAAGTCCTACAACTGCTATGCTGGCTGGGAAATGCAACAATTTGTAAGACTTCTTTCTGTCCAAACATGCATAGGATTGTACTTCCAATGGCACACATTGCAAACCCTCTGGATAACAACCTGTCCTCTCGTATTTTGTAAACTAGTATGTATGGCTCATGATGCTATATAAAGAGTAATTGATATATAAATAATATCCAGATTGCTTTATAGCATGGATTTAAATTGGCTTCATAGCATGGATTTAAATTAAAAGTCGTATTTGCAGTCCAATTGTTTTCTAGAAAATCAATCCTGCTGAGATCAGCAGGGCCTTTGTTCATAGGAAGGATGCTTTCACAAATTTCACAAAGTATTAGCATATTCTTTTCAGCAATTTTCCCATCATCAACTGATGGTAAACTAGCTTCCCCGCTGTAAACAAATCAGATGAAATGCTGCAGATGTGAATCAGTTCTGACAGCATTCGGTTCCAATCAAGCCCTGAGCTGAATCTTCTCAGCAACTGGGCTGCTTGGGCCATATCCTGCTGCTCTGAAGTTAGCGGGCTCATTGGGAAAAGGTTATAACATGGAATTGCATTGGGAAAAGATTGCATTTGTCATGCTAGCCTTTCTTAAAATAATTTTTAAAAGACTCAAGATGACTCACAACATTAAGATCTGCAACATTTAAAATTACTAAAACCAGTTGGCCACTGAAATAGTGTAAGTTTATAACATCACTAGAACATAGAAGCTGAGCGAGTCAGATGGGGTCTCCCCGGCCATCTAGTCTGACTCCCGGCTCCAACTGGCTCCACTCATGACATGCCTATCATGTGCATGTCCAGCCCAACCTTAAAATCCCTCACTTCAACTGCCTCCCATGGAAGGCCATTCCATATCCTAGTGGTCCTAACCATCAAGTACTTCCTGGCATCCACCTTGAACCTTGGTTCCCTGGGCTTTGCTCCATTGGAATGCATCGTGCCCTCATCCGCAGGGGGAAAAAGGTCACAACTCACCTCCGCCTGACACCCTCTCATGCACCTATATGTCACTAACAGGTCCCCTCTGAGTCTTCTCTTCTCCAGGCTGAAAAGACCCAGTTCCCTCGTCTCTCCCCATATGGCTTACTCTGCTAATCAACCACTATCCTTGTGGCCCTTTGCTTCACTGATTCCAACCATGCTATATCCCTCTTGTAATGAGGGGCCCAGAACTGAACACAATAATCCAGCTGCAGGTGCACCAGAGTCATGTAGAGTGACAGTAATACCTCTCTTGATCTAGAAGCTACACTTCTGGCTATGTATCCAAGGGTGGCATTAGCCCTCTTGACTGCCATGTAACACTGCTGACTCATGCTTAGCCTTAGTCAGTCAACAGCACCCTGAGATCCTTTTCACAAGTGCTGCTCTCCAGCCACTTGTCCCCTAAGCTGTACTTATGACACCCATTCCTATGCCCCAAGTGCAAGATCTTGCACTTATCTGCATTGAACATCATCCTGTTGTCTCCTGCCCACTTCCATAGTCTGCCCAGATCCTTTTGGATCTGGAGTACCTGCTCCTCAGTTGTGGCCACTGCCTCCATTTTAGTAATATCTGTGAATCTGATCAGCAGACTGGTCACCCTTTCTTCCATGTCGTTGGTCAGGATCAGTCCCAGGACAGAGCCCTGGGGACCCCACTCATCACCCATCACCATCCCAGTGATAACAGATGGTTACCCTCGGCTTTTGCTCAGTCAACCGTGTCCTAATCCATCAGGCAAGTGCATTGGACTATCCCAAAACTCCTCAGTTTCAAAGGTCTTGCTGAAATCTAGGTGAACCACATCCACTGCATCCCCTCCTTCCAGCCACCTTGAAACCTTGTCATAGAATTCCACAAGGTTCATATGGCAGGATCTGTTTTTGCTGAAGCCATGTTGTGTGGCTGCCAACCTCCCTTCCCTATCTAAGGTTTCCAGAGTGTTTCCTATTATGAGCCTTTTGAACATCTTCCCCAGGATGGACATAAGGCTAACCAGTCTCTAATTCCCCATGTCCCCTCTACTACCCTTTTTGAACATTGGGACCACTGATGCCACCCTCCAGTCCTCTGGAACCTCACCCATTCTCCATGATGCCTCAAAAATGGAGGCCAGCGGGCGTGAGAGCACCCCCACCCTCTCCCTAAGTACACATGGATATAACCCATCAGGGCCTGGTGCCTTTGTAATGTCCAGTGCCCTGAGGAGCTCCTTTAATTCTAGGGAGCTGGCTCTAATCTGTGCCCCTAAATCCTCAGCTTCATCCAATGCCCCGTGGAGATCTTCTCCATCCTGCTTTCAGGAGAACACAAAGGCAAAATAGTCATTTAGCATCTGTGCCTGTTCCCTCACATCAGTCACTGAATTCCCTTCTTCCTTATTAAGCAGCCCCACCACCTGTCTCCCCTTCCTCTTGCTATGTACATGTTGATAGAAGCCCTTTTTGTTGCTCCTGATATTCTTTCCAAGTCTCAGCTCATAATCAGCCTTAGCCTTGAGAAGAACATCAGTAACAACCATAAAGAAGAGGAAAATGTTAACCTTTTGCTGAAAAAGTGATAATTTTTGGGGTCAGTAAGATCATTCTTCATTTGGGAGACACCACCAAAAAAGCTTTCTCTCTGCTTCAGCCCAGGCATTCTGTGGAATGGCCATGACGGATTAAACAGAAGAGCAGCTTTGCATCCTTGGTAGACACTAAATGCGATTTAAAACAAAAACAAAAAGCATAGTACTAGACAGTAGAATATCAGGAGGGATCAGAAAAATCATTTAGAAATATAGCTCATGTCTGCATCATGGAAATCCAGCAGTGTTTTGGAAGCTGTCATGTAGGATTGGGAGTAGAACAACTTCTAATATCTTTTGTGCAATGGGCTGGTGTAATTTTTAAGGAAATAAAACAATGGGTGCTGAGGTTCAGATGATGATGGAAGCCATGTCCTCCACAGAAGTAACAATGTTCATCTTCAGAGTCGAAGAACCAAAAGTCCTGTGGCACTTCCATGATGTTCCAAACTGATTATGATGTAAGCTTTTGTGGACTGGAGTCTACTTCATTAGATGCAAGAAGATATACTTAGTGGGGGGGCACGCTCACACACACACAGGGGGGAGAGAGGGGGAAGAGAGATTTCTGTGTTGTGTGTATGTGGGAAGGGTTAATCATAAATATTTAGGTGGAGCTGATTAATATTCTGTGGCAGGCTAGTTTCCACTGTGGTTGCAGGTCCTGCAGTGTTTCTGCCTTCGGTTAACAAAGTTGGAATGCCTTATTCCAGGATGTTTCATGATGTGCAAACCTAGATATTCTGGATTGTTGATAGGTTAAACATGGATTTCACTTCAGGAATAAAAAATCATACCCATCTGGACTGTTCACAGTTAATGATTTCAAGAGAAGTTCTGTTTTCTGCTCTAATTTGGTGTGCATATTGATGTATGGATCTATAGATAGTGATCTCCTGGGATTTTTTTTCCTAGTGCAGAAGCAAATAATAACTTATTTGTCCACTCCCAGAAATAAGGATGGGTTTAATCCTGGTTTTACTGCTAGTTCCCTTACATTTTTGTTTCTGTGCAAGCTTTAACTTTATTCTTTCCAGCTTAATTCCTTATCATCACACAGGGTAAACATTTCAAAAAAATCTTAAGAAAATTTAAACACTCTTTAGATCTCTACAGTAAAGATAGTCAAGGGAAATGGGTGATACTCATTTTCCAGACTACTGTGTTTTGCTGATAATGCAGCGCTGTGGGAGGGGATGACTTTGGATTTGCATATTTCTGCTTGTTTTTCTGCTGAGCTTAGAAGAGAATTTGCCCAACCAAAGGAGGTGAAAGG